TATTGGAGAGTGGAGAAGTTTTTCTTTTCATGAATTTGGCACGATACATTAACAAGAGGGACTAACACCATAAAAGTGGTGCAGCAGCTTTATTAAATTCCCCCTTAAGTTTTGGAGTAAACTTATGTCTATTAAAGATCCCAGAGGAACATCAAGATTAACAGCTTGATGAACTTTCACTGAGAGTAACAAAATATTCACAACAGAAGCGGCCACTTCAACAAAAGGATTGGTTTTCTAGTGATGTTACTATCTGGAGAACTATCCTTAGAAGACTTCTCCTGAGGGAATTGGGGGAAGAAGCCTTTAAGAAGAAGACTTCTGGTATGGCAGTCCTCACCTGAGATACAAATTACTGGCGTCAAGAAGCATTAAAGAGGAGAAGGAAGCACAAACCTCTAGTGTGGCAATTAATTGGAGTCAAAACACAAACAGAAACTCATTGCTTTGGTGATTTTAATAAGTGCTCATGAGATTATAATTTTAAAAGGATTTGTTCAGTATTCTTACACCATATTGTGCATTCTTTACTAACATTTTAAATAAAAAGTTTAAAAGATAAGTTCACCTTTTAGACAAAAATAATAAATGCACATTTTTTTGCAGGTAAAAACTATCTGCATCTATTATTTTTGTCTAAAGGAGCCTGTAAAGCATTGCACCTGTGATCAGTAGATCGCTGATGCCATGCAGGTCTGCTGTGAGAGTATTGGGATGTATGAGCTAGCAGATATACTGACAGGAAGCTTCAATGACCCACCATGGTGCACCACAGCACCATAGAGCTAGGGCTGTCGGAACTTGAAGGCACTCATTCACAGAATACTATGAATAAGTGACATGACCTTGCCGTGCAGTTTTCAAATCTAACAGATAGTGTGGGGAAACTTCTCCCTGTACTATCTGTCGGGGGGGGGTTTGCGGAGTGCGCTGCTGCGGCTATGGGAACATGTTCCACCCTAAAAACTTGTAGAACATGTAACATGTTTCAAAGGTGAACTTATCCTTTAAATAAAAAAGGGTGCATGAGCCTTACTGGATATACATGAAGATGCCCAGAGGCCTCATCATTCTAAACTACTGGTTTCATATTTACCTACTCTCGAGGAAATTTTGTGTAAATGGACCTCTACTGCTTTTCCTTCTGTGTCATCCTGGGACACCATGATTAATACTGCTTTGCCATTGTATAAACTGTCCTATATTATCCGTGGCTACCCTTGGAAATATAATAAGGTCTGGCTCCCCTGAATGTCCCAGTAGACTGCTATGACTTTATTTCTTACCAGTGTAGAGATGGGTGGCATTATATGGCCTCCCCCCCTCTTGTTTCCAATCCTACCTGCCTTTGGCGCTTTCATCCCTTCCTCCTCCCCTCTTCTCTTTTCCCCCTCACCCCCCTTCCCCACTCCTCTGTTTGAGTTATGATGTATCTTTGCTTTGGGTGCTCCTCTACCAAATGGAGTTTATTTCATCTAGTTTTGTAACCTTGGTCTTTCTTTCAACACTGTTCTGCATTGTTGGATTCTGCCTTGTTTTTTTATTTTGCTGATTCCTATACTCTGCCATGCCAAATTATTTGCTGATATTGCCATGTATTGCTTTTAAACCTTCAATAAAACAATCCTGTTTGGTAAAAAAAAAAGAATGCACAATTTTGATTGTAACGTCACCAGATAACATGGAGTGTTTAAAATAGTAAGCATGTAAGTGACAATTGATCACTCATTAAGGTGGGGGCTAAGCATACAGAATGTGTGGAATGACAGAATGCAGTGCATATAAAAAAAACAGCTAAGGGTAACATATACTGTATAGTAAATAAAAATTACAGTGTGTTTTAGTGTATAGTTAGTGTATATTAGGACTAGGTCTGTAATTGTTTAGAATGTGAGATTGTTTATTCAGACCTGGTGCTGATTAGGGATGCGTTTTGGGTTTGGGTTGAATAAACGTTTGACCCAAACATAGCCTGTTTCCAGTTCAGCCAACAGGTGAACAAACTTACCAAATTTGGCCAGTTTACACATCCACACCCCTTACAGATGTTTGCCTGTCATTTTGTGGTGGTAGCACTACCACAGCAAATTGACAAATCCCTGGTATGGTGTAGGAGATGCACATTCACTTTCCCCCTGTCCTGATCACCGAGGCTCCCTAGGCTGCATGCCTGGGTAAGGCTCTTTTTATTTTTAGAGGGATCTAAAAATAAATAAAAAAAAAAAGTACACATCCAAAATACATGATACCAGGAAAAATATATATATATAGCTGAAAGGCATCTCCAAAGAATGTAATCAAAAGCATGGAGTTTTTTCCCATGTCATCCTTGCAATTGTTGTTTGGAGGATAAACTCACCCTGTATAGTATTTCTTTAAAAGTTTTTTGCATTTGTACATGTCATCCATGGCAATGCCTAGCTCCCCATTCCTTTTATGATAATTTATTTCCAATTAGCTTTGAAAATGAGCAGAAATTATTATCCAGGATAACCACTTTAGACTTTAATGGGGTTCAGTTTTAGATTTAAAATTTTCAGGCTGCACACAGGGTTAACACGGGGGGCACGCTGGACACCTTAGCTGCCATTGTGCTACATGCTGTGTGTCCAGTGCGCTCCCGTACCTTTAAAGAGGGGTGGGTTCCCTCAGATCCACCTTCCCTTGGTCTATTCATTAAATACATGTGCCTCTGCTATGGGGGCTCTTAAAATTTGTAGAGTTAGGAACTACAAAATACTGGTTTGCCGTCCCAAGGCTCTGTAGCTTAATCATGTATTTGCAAATGTGTGCTAACTAAACCCCTGTTTTTAATGCATACTGCTAGACAAGTAATTTGGTTTCTTTGCAGAGTGGCTGGCAAGTGTGAGCTGGGAATTTTTCTTTTTTTGTTGTTTGACATGTGTTGCCCATCCATGTGTTCCTTCCTGTGAAGGCCAGTTATAGACTGGGGCAGTGGCCGTTTTTTGTACTGTTAAACAAATCCCCCACTAACCAAACCTAGACATTCATTTATCCCTACTCAGTCAGGAAGCAAAGAGCTTCTGCTGCACGCTTATCCTCAAAAAACAAATAATGCTTTGTGACACCAGAATTATGAGTTCACCGTGACTAATTGAGTAATGGTAATATAAAAATGTTCATAAAAATGATAAAAAGAAAATATAAAACTTTTGGGAATTTAGATGTCTTCTAAGAGGTCACAAAATACCTTTCAATTTTTATTTTATTTCTTTATGGTTTTGGCATTGCCTTTTCTTATTTGCACTATTTATTCAGTGTATCTAGATACCTAACCACACTGTTTGTGTGAGTAATATTCCATCGTTTCTGTGGCTGGATCACTTCAATTCAATTTTCACTTTAAATGGCTAAATATTTTGCTTTGGTGATATGATTTGTAAATGGTGCATCAAATCCATAATATGTATAAATGCTTAAATTAATTTGAATCTGAAGGATTAAAGAGCCATTAGCATACTAAGATGATTTTAGCAAAATGGCATTGAATACATAAATGGTGTGAAGTATTTAATGCCATTTCAAGCAGAAATATTTTCCTGCAGGGATATTAAGGGTGTTTTAGTGCTTTCTAATTTCTGTTGATTAGACACAATAGAGTTTTTCTCTCCCAAGTGACCTTATCCTTATACTGACTTTTCACATCAACTGCAAGAAAAAATGTTCTCAATTATGGCCAACACAAATAAGTAATTGATGTTACAAGTTACTGAGCAACATTCCAAAGTCAATATACAGTATGACCTCCACTGTCAATGTATCTTGATAGAACTAAAATAAAATCAATGAAGGTATGAATTAAAGTGCTTTATCTTCCAAGCCTCAATCATATTTTTTCTTTTATTTATTGTGAAGTCCTCCTTTCTTTTCTATTGTATTATAGCACACTGGTTGCATCTAAAGCTACAATCCCAAGAAGAATGTTCTTTTCTCAGTGAATTTTCCACTACAGTGCACAGTTCAGACACAAATGCATCACCTTAGCCATGCTGCACAAATCAAAAATTCAACTGCATTCTACAATATCATGTATAATAATAATAATAATATGAAAAGTGGGGAACCAAGAACAAGTAATGTGATTTAAAATGCAAAGATTATTTCTGATGGGTTGCTTTGAATCACTGCACTTTACAAATAATTTTAGTATAGTAAATTCAGAGTACATACATAAGAGCTAAAAGTAATCTGCCATGTTATCACAAATTTCTATGGTCAATGGTCTTTGGAGCCCAGTGTGACACCAAAATACTCAACTCAATTTAGAGTGTAATGCACACTATATTGCTACAAGTGTTGGGACACCTGCCTTTACACGCACATGAACTTTAATGACATCCCAGGTTTAGTCCGTTGGGTTCAATAGACATCCCAGGTTTAGTCCGTTGGGTTCAATATTGAGTTGGCCAACCCTTTGCAGCTATAACAGCTTCAACTCTTCTGGGAAGGCTGTCCACAAGGTTTAGGAGTGTGTCTATGGGAATGTTTGACCATTCTTCCAGAAGCGCATTTGTGAGGTCAAGCACTGATGTCGGACGAGAAAGCCTGACTTGCAGTCTCCGCTCTAATTCATCCCAAAGGCATTCTATCAAGTTGAGGTCAGGGCAGTCATGTTCCTCCACCCCAAACTCGCTCATCCATGTCTTTGTGGACCTTGCCTTGTGCACTGTTGCACACTCATGTTGGAACAGGAAGGGGCCATCCACAAACTGTTCCCATAATGTTGGGAGCATGAAATTATCCAAATGTCTTGGTATGCTGATGCCTTAGGAGTTCCCTTCCCTGGAATTAAGGGGTCAATCCCAACCCCTGAAAAACAACCCCACAACATAATCCCCCCTCCACCAAACTTTACACTTGGCACAAAGCAGTCAGGCAAGTACCATTCTGCTGGCAACCGCCAAACCCAAACCCATGCATCGGATTGCCAGACAGGGAAGCATGATTTTTCACTCCAGAGAACATGTCTACACTGCTTTTAGAGTCCAGTGGTGGCTTGCTTTACACCACTGCATCCAATGCTTTGCATTGCACTTGGTGATGTAAGGCCTGGATGCAATTGCTTGACCATGGAAACCCATTCCAAGAAGCTCTCTATGCACTGTTGTTGCTCTAATCTGAATGCCACATGAAGTTTGGAGGTCTGTAGCTATTGACTCTGCAGACAGTTGGTGACTGTTGTGCACTGTGCGCTTCAGCATGCACTGACCCCACTTTGTCATTTTACATGGCCTACCACTTTGTGGCTGAGTCACTGTTGTTCCCAGTTGCTTCCACTTTGTTATAATACCACTAACAATTGACCGTGGAATACTTAGTAGCAAGAACATTTCACGGATGGACTTATTGCACAGGTGGCAACCTATTACAGTATCACACTGGAATTCACTGAGCGTAACCCATTCTTTCACAAATGTTTGTAGAAGCAGTCTGCATGCCTAGGTGCTTGATTTTATACACCTGTGGCCATGGAGATGATTGGAACACCTGAATCTAATGATTTGGAGGGGTGTCCCAATACTTTTGGCAATATAATGTGTCTTTGCCTTGTGCAAAAAATGCTTAAATATGTTGGATTAAAAATAGAAAGTTTACATTTATGGTTCTATCAGCTTACATTGTAAGCCTAGATTAAAAGATCTCATATTCATTTAATTGGCTTTTCCTCTAAAGTTCAAAAATCAGGTTGTTTATGTGATAAACTGAAACCTATAACTCTTTGCAAAAGGTTTTTGATGCACAAATTCTACAACATGTGCTGCAGTTATTATTGAATCTGCAAATTTACATCAACCTTTATTATTGAATCTGCAAATTTACATCAACCTTAATGAATAAAGATTGTATTTAATAGTGTATATAACACTTCTGCAAAGAAGACATGGGAAGGGGACACTATCAGTGCCAACTTACATTTTTATGGTTTATAAAAAGGTTTTCAATCCTTTCAAAGTATTCTAAAAACCCTATCATGGAAAATGGTCAGCTGAAATGTTCTGCTTGCATCATTAACATAACAGCATTACCAAATATGACTGAAAACAGTAAATTAGCTAATCTCATCCCATGCTTTAAGACTAAAACTGTATGATTTCCAAATGAAAGCCAATAATCTTGGATTCTCAAAGAATTACTTTCATGTCATATCAGGCAAAGGTATTGTGTCTCCTATCAGCCATCCTGTTTCCTACAGATTAGTTGCTATCGGTAACACACTCCGTAATTGTTTGCATTGCCTTTCAAACTATATTTATTCAGCAAAGACAAAACCTTTAACTAACAGCTATTTTGTTTATAAAAGACATATCCGCTGACAGTTTGGCATTTAAGATTATATACATATGATTCACACAAATTAAGGGTCATTTTTTTACACTAAGCTCAGACTCTGTGATTTTATGCATGATTAAATAGTAATTAAGCTGTAATGAAAAATATGTAGCTTGATTACAATTAATATAATTGCACAAGTCAGTTTGTATCTTCATTTTCTACATGCTGTGCTGAATTGGAATGACAATCCTTTAACTGCTTCATAAATGGATACACCGCATGGATGACACCAATAAAGATGGGAAGTGAAGGGACAAAAAAGTTTGCAAATTGAACTAAAGCTCCAAAAAAAAAAAAAAAAGGTTGCTTTTGACAGACATCATGAATATTTATTCCCCACCTTGCATTTTAAATGGATATAGAGATAGACCTAGAAAAAATATGTTTGGCATTTCAACTCATTTGAAAGGAAAAATCTATATGCATTTGTGTGCTTTATGTAGATGAAAACAGTCCGGGGGTAAAGAATATACACAGGAACATTTCCATGCAACGTAGATAGTGAATCATGTTAAATTTATAATGCATCCTGTTATACCCACTTGAAAACTGTATGGAAAAACCAGACTTGCTGATGAAAAAATCACTATCAAACTGTAAAGTCAAAGAGTTGAATGTGCTATGAATGTCCTCGGGGAGAGAAGAACCACTCCACTCTTTCAGAAGAACATCACTGTCTACAGGTCCATCCCATACCTTGAGGATATCATGTGCGACTTCGGTGTCAAAAACTATAAAGTGAAGGCTGAAAAAAAAAAGACAGTATATATAATGTTTAGCCTTGTAAATACTAAAATATGCATTGTTCTGTCTCTGGAAATATAATGTTAAACTAGAAAGCATTGAAGAGAAAACAGAAACTATGACTTGTGCCTTCTGTGTGGATCTAAATTTAGGATTTTGATAAACATCAACTCATACATATGCCACATTATATACTTTACAGTCCAAGTTAAATCACAGAAATCAATATGCAATCACATAAACATTGTATTCACAAATCTGTTTTCATTGCCTTACCTATACTTTCTTGTTACAACAGATGTGCAGGATATCTAAAAATGACCGTGCAGTCCAATAGTCACCAGATTTAGACCTGGTGCTCTCAGTAATAAGAAATCATTAAAAGACCTGATCTAACACATCTCCTCTTCCTGTGCAATTGAAATCTGTATAAGGACCTTTTTGATGAGAGGTGTGGCTTTGATTTGATCAGTATAGAGCATCAATATTTATTTATTATTTATTTTATCACCACATGTTTTTTTAATTTGTCATGATATAAATGAAAAAAGACCAAACATTTTGAAAAAAAAGATATTTTCTGCTTTCGGTTATACAAAATATCAAATAAACTCAAAGTTAGTCATAAATTTCGGCCAAAATGTATTCTGCTACATGTCTTCGGTAAACAAAAACCCAATATATATATATTGGAATTTACGCAGCTTTTACTTTTTGACTCTCTGACTCATCACGTTTCTTGAGATGCTAAAATGCCAGGGCATTACAAACCCCCCCCTCCCCCCAATAACCCCTTTTAGGAAAGTAGACATCCAAAGGAATTTGCTGAGAGGCAAGTTGTACATTTTTGGAAAATGACAATTTTTTTTTCTTACACAAAGTTGCCACGTAAATTATATATGGCTCACACATGCCATGGGTATATGTGGAATAACACCCCAAAACACATTCTGCTACTTCTCCCTTCTCTAAAGGGATACCACAAGTGAGAGACTTTTGGCAGCCTAGCCACATAGGCCCCCAAAATCCAATGGCCACCTTCAGGCTTTCAAAGGGCACACTTCCTCATATCACTTCCTCACTACTTATCACAGTTTTGTAGGCCCTAAAATGCTAGGATAGTAAAAATACCCCCTCAAATGTCCCCTTTTTGGAAAGTAGACACCCAAAAGAATTTGATAAGATGCATGATGAGCACTGTGAGTATTTTGCAGGTATTATTTTTGTCACAGGGTTTAGAAAAAGAAAAAAAGAAAAGAATACATATTCGTTTTCTTTCTTCATTTTCCAAAAACTTGTGGCAACAATTGAGATCTGCAAAATATTCCTCATTACCCTTAGCAAATACCTTGGAGTGTCTGCTTTCTAAAAAAGGGTTCATTTTTAGGGGTACTTCTACTATCTTGGCATTTCAGGGCCAACATTAGAAGCTTATGCCATACATCACCCACTTGAAGACAAAGCCTTTTCTGACACTTTTGTGTTTATAATAAACCATTCTTTTTTGCTAGAAATTTACTTTGAACCTCCAAACATTATATATATTTTAATGCAGAGGCCCTAGAAAATAAAACAGTGGGTGTTGACATTTTTTATGTCACACAATATTTGTGCAGTAATTTTTCAAATGCTAATCTTTTGGAAAAAATATACAAAATGCACAAAAACACACACACCACTTTATATTTACACAGGAGGTCTAGTGACAGAATGACTGCCCTTGACCATGCTCATGCATGGTGCAATCTCTGTTTACCGGACTGACTCTTACGTTCGCCTTTGCGATCTGTCCCTTTCTTTTTTGGGTCATTTTTATTGTGATCACAGAGAATGTAACTATCCCCTGTGATAGCACTGGGCAGTGACAGGCACTCTTTTCTCAGAAAGCTGGGGTCTATTGCTTTCTCAATTTAAAAATGTCACGGTTTATATTTGGCGAAACTGAAATGCTTGTAGCTTCCAGTTTCTTAGATTATAGAGAAATAGAAAGCGACATAAGGGTACATCTCCTTGCCCAGATCAACTGCTCGCCCACTGCGGAGGAGCGGGGAGAGGCAAGTAGTTACAAAAACATATTTAATTATTAAAATTCTCTCAATAGTTTTTTTTTTTTTTTTACATTATTTTAATAATTTTTTTTAAACACTTTAATCAGAGTAGTGCAATGTTACCAGAGTACCATCTTACAGCTCCGGAGGGGGGGGGGGGGGTTATCAGGGGTTCACTTTGCATTGCAGGAGTAATAAAGATTATTGCAATGCAATGCAATGCTTGCTTTAAACTGTTATGAATGAGTTAAGTCCATGACGTCTCAAAATAATAGTGATTTGTGCTTGGCTCCACCTGGTCACATGGTACAGGGAGCTGTGATTGGTCCCATGTACCATGTGAGAGTTGTGGGCCAATCACAGCTCACCAAGAAGAGAAGTAAAGCTGCTTTGATTCAGATTGATTCATAACAGCTTTGCTAACATCGTGATCGTGTGACCGCATAGCCATCACATGATCACCCGGTCCCATTCACTGGGATCTTCATTTTGCTGAGTCCATCATGCTGCACCCCCTTGTGTTAGGACAGGCAGAGCGATGTACCAGTATATCGCTTTGCCTATGGTTGCCACCTATCTGCAGTGCATTACGGGCAGGTGGTCTTATCAGCGTACCCTATGCGTTACGTCATATCACGTGACCTGGCTCTGAACCCAGAAGTGTTGTAATACACACTGCTACCACACTGCTACACTATATCAGGCTGCAAACTGGAAATGCATGTGACACCATTTTGGAAAAGGGAGTTCTGCATACTTCTCACAGCAAGCACTGTATAGTGAGTTTTTTTTAACCCTGTAGTGTCCCAGGAGGACACATTTTAATGTGAGTAGAACTAAATTGTTTTGATAAAAGCTGTTTTTTAGTGGCAATACTACACTATATTGAGCCTTTTTTCACATGGATGTGGAGAGATCTGGAGCTGTTTAAAGGTGCTGGCTAATGGTGGTGAAGATCTGTGTACCATTAAACCCTCCCGGGTCAAAGGGAAAGGCGCAGTTTGACCTGTCATTACGGGTCAAACTTGGAGGTGAGCGCAATAGAGTGTTGGAGGTGGATGAGCACTAAGGGGTGACACAGGAGCACCATACATGCTTATACAGTAGTTGTTATGATCCGCCAGGTGGGGCCTCAGGCTGCCAACTGACAGACCTACCCAGAGCGTGGGGTCTAAGCCCGGGCTGTGCTTTCACCAGGGCCCCTGATGGTGGGGATGGACTTGTAACAGTCCCGGGCCAGGTCACGACCTCTGAGCAGGCCCACCAGTGGCTGAGGAAGCCTCCGGGGACGTATGCAGGTACCGGGAGAGC